GATGGTGGTGGTGATTGTGGTGGTGGTGATTGTTGCGGTGGTGGCTTGATAAGAAACGTTGAAGTGCAGGTAGTGTGTGTGTGTTTGTCACGATGCTGATGATGATGATTGTGGTCGTGATGATGATAGAAATCTCATGGGTGCGTGTACAATCATCTCATAGCTCCGACAAGTCACATCACTTAATCGCGAATCTCGGTGGATCGTCTCGATGCGGTCCCCTGGCTGATTGCTGATTCTGGAGCTTGAGTCATTACTCCGGAAACCGGGAGATCGTTGACCGACGATGCTCCAAAGGACAATGTTAGTTCATGGGCAGTGTTAATCTGTCGACAATGTGAGTCTATGGGCAGTGTGAGTCTATGGGCAGTGTGAGTCTATGGGCAGTGTGAGTCTATGGGCAGTGTGAGTCTATGGGCAGTGTTGAGTCTATGGGCAGTGTCTATGGGCAGTGTGAGTCTATGGGCAGTGTGAGTCTATGGGCAGTGTGAGTCTATGGGCAGTGTGAGTCTATGGGCAGTGTTAGTCTATGGGCAATGTGAGTCTATGGGCAGTGTGAGTCTATGGGCAGTGTGAGTCTATGGGCAATGTGAGTCTATGGGCAATGTGAGTCTATGGGCAGTGTGAGTCTATGGGCAGTGTTGAGTCTAGGGGCAGTGTGAGTCTATGGGCAATGTGAGTCTATGGGCAATGTGAGTCTATGGGCAATGTGAGTCTATGGGCAATGTGAGTCTATGGGCAGTGTGAGTCTATGGGCAGTGTTGAGTCTATGGGCAGTGTGAGTCTATGGGCAATGTGAGTCTATGGGCAATGTGAGTCTATGAGCAATGAGTTTTTGCTCTGGAAACCGGGAGATCGTTGATCTGTGATCGGTTGCCGGGGTCGAAGACGGCATCGGTGGTGATGTCTCACTGAAGCAGAGGTGGGCTGCTGCTGCTGATGATGATACTTCAGCTGATGGTGCTGCTGCTGATGATGATGATGCCGATACTGCTGCTGATGCTGCTGCTACCGAAGCAGTCCTAAGCTCGTGTCTCCCTCGGAGCTGTTTACGGCTCTCCCTCTTTAACAATCCCCATCTTGTAAAACAAATATATATTACGACCACCCCATCCTCATCCTCCTCCTCCTGCTGCTGCACTCTTTAACCGAACCCCAACCCCAAACCTGCTCGCTCTCTCTCCCCCCCACCCCTTCGCCGACGAGGCAAGCCCCGCAGCATCTGTTCTGTGTTTAAACACGACAGCAGCACCTTACTCCTTGCGCGAAGGTTCCACGCGCAGGACCACACAAGTCGCCCCCCACCACCAAGCCCATCGTCTTTACCGCTCTGCGCATAAATGTATTTAGAGTGCGGTCGGGTGCATGGGTGGTGGACGGAGGGGAGGGGTAGTGGTGTGTGAGAGGGGGGGGTGGGTGTTTAATGAGTGACGTCACGATTAACTCAACTTTCTTAAATAGAACGGCGCTGCGATTCCTCACACCAACATGTCCAGCACCCCTCTCCCTCCTCCCCCCTCCCTCTTGACCCCCTCCCCTCGCCGCCCAACCTATACAACGCCCCCCCCCCCCCCACGAGCCACTGGGGTCCCTCCCTGCCTCCCTCTCTCGCCTCCTGGTCTCTCTGCATCACGCAGAGCCCAAGCCGCGTGGAGCGAGCAACAACAACAACAACGACGTCGTCGTCTGTCTCCTCCTCCTCCTCCTGCTGCTGCTGCTGCTCTTCCTTTCGCCTCTTAGTCCACTGCTGGCTTACTCGGAGCGCCACCCACCCCTCCCCCATCTCCCTCGTTCTGAACTCTGCCTCTCAATCCAAAAGCACGAACTTCCCTCCCCTCCCTCCCCTCCCTCCCTCCCTCCCCTCCCTCCCTCCCTCCTCTCCCTCCCTCCCTCCCCTCCCTCCCTCCTCTCCCCTCCCTCCCTCCTCTCCCCTCCCCGTCCTGCTTTGCGGACTCTTCAGCCTTTGTTCCGTCTTCTTCGTTAGTCATACGCAGTTAATATTCACCGTGCATAGTGAATATACTGCAGAGTAAATTAAACACAAGGACAAAGCCCCCCCTCCTCCTCCCCCCAGCGCCCGTATAGCCTCCTACAACATACTGTTGGGGCAAGTGCTGTTAGCCTCCTACAACAGACTGTTGGGGCAGGTGCTGTTAGCCTCCTACAACAGACTGTTGGGGCAAGTGCTGTTAGCCTCCTACAACAGACTGTTGGGGCAAGTGCTGTTAGCCTCCTACAACAGACTGTTGGGGCAAGTGCTGTTAGCCTCCTACAACAGACTGTTGGGGCAAGTGCTGTTAGCCTCCTACAACAGACTGTTGGGGCAGGTGCTGTTAGCCTCCTACAACAGACTGTTGGGGCAAGTGCTGTTAGCCTCCTACAACACACTGTTGGGGCAAGTGCTGTTAGCGGGCGTCTATGGAGGCCGGCACGGCACACGAGAGGGGTCTCCCAAGTAGTGATGTGGACACACGGCACTAGGTACTCATTTTGAGTCTGAGTCGACCTAGGGGAGGCCCAGGACCGGTTGAGATATTTGCCACTGCTATTGGTGGTTGGTAACTCCACTAAGCGTTGCGCCACCGCTCCCCACACACAACCACAGATAGACACACACAGACATACAAAGACAAACAACCCCCTGTTGGGGCAAGTGCTGTTCAGCGAGCACCTATGAAGGCCGGCACGGCACACGACGGGATGGGTGGTCAACACCACGCCCGGCCGCCTTTGTCTCCCCAGTGGTGAGTCGACCTAGGGGAACGCCCAGGACCGGTTCAGATAATCGTCACCGGTGATGTTGTGCCGTGGGCGGGAATCGAACTCGGGTCGCAGGATTTCGTATTTTTGTGATTTATAGCGCGGCGCGCTAACCACTGCGCCACCGCTCGTCCTGCACGCATTCAATCCGTTAAACACACACACGCACGCACACGCGCACACACACACGGGCACGCGCACACACACTCACACACTTATACATCTAGAAACACAAACAGCCTCGTTTAGGGTTATAAACAGTAGCGGAGCTTGTGTTTTGCGATAGTTAATGGCACTTTCTCAAACCGTCAAAGATACACAAACACACGCACGCACACACACATTACACCACACACACACGGACCTTCCCTCTCACTCGTATGCACACACGTGACACACGTGCGCTCACAGACGCGCACATATATACAAATACAAAACTGCCCCGTGTAGCCTTAACAGACTGTCGGGGCAAGTGCTGTTAGCGAGCAGCACCTATGAAGGCCGGCACGGCACACTAGGGGGCGGGTGGCCAGCACCACGCCCGGCCGCCTTTGTCTCCCCAGTGGCAATGTTTTTACGCACTGTACCGGGTGCTCATTTGAGGCTGAGTCAACCTAGGATAGGCCCAAGACCGGTTCGGATAATCGCCACTGGTGTTGGCCGTGAGCGAGAAACGAACTCGGGTCGCCAGGTTCGTAGCTCAGCGCGCTAACCGCTATTCGCCACGGTGACGTCACCACGACGCTTGTGCCAGGCTATGTGCACGTTGAGGCCACGTGAAGTGTCGAACGCCCGCTAGCAGGAGGTCACGGGGCAGACCCAGGTGCCACGGGTCGACTGACTGGGATGACCGATATGACTGACTGATGCAGCACCTGTGCCCCCTACTGTGCCAATTTGCTGTGCTTTAGTCACCCGGCCCTCCGCTCGTTGTTGTGAGCGTCGCTCTTCCGCCCTCCGTTGTTGTTGGAGGGCGACTGCCTCCAACTGCCCAGCAGCATCCTTCACGAGCCTCCTCCACAGAGGCGGATCTTGACACCGCTGGTAACAGTCATCGGTAAATCCACTCATCTCCACGTCCTCCTGTACCACATCACTCCATCTATTCTTTAGTCCGTGCCGCGCCCGTTTAGCCCCCTCGATCCGGCCAAAAAAAAGCTGTTTAGGCATGCGGTGGCTGGGCATGCGGGCTACATGACCCAGCGAACGCAGCATTGCTTTCCGGAGGAACTCACCGATGGGACTTTGTCCAGATCTTTTAAGGATTTGTGAGCTCCTCACAAAATTCAGCCTGGTTAACCCCAGGATGGATCGTAGGCAGGCTAGCCTAAATGTTTCTAACCGGCGAAGATGTTCCATTAGGGGGTCCACGTTTCGCAAGCGTAGAGAAGGGAGGGAATGACCGTGGCCGAGAAGACCTGAACCTCTGTCCGATGAAAAGATGATGCCGCTCGACTGATTCTGAGTGAGACCTATGCTGTTTAACCGGAGCCAATCATGAGCATACTGCCCAGGTATGGGAAACTCTTCACTCTCTCCACAACTGCCCATCACCAATTGGGAGTTGTGGGGGTGGAGTGTCCGATGGTACAAAATACCCAGGCAGCTGCCTAGTTTTGGTGGGGCTGATGGTAAGGCCCCACCTCTTCGTGGCAAGCTCCAGGTTCAGCCGCAGCATATCCAACTCCTCCTTTGAGTGAGCAGCAATTACCAGATCATCGGCATACATAACATGGTTGAGCAATAGGGAGCCATCCCTTGACCGCACCCGGGCATCGATCAGCCTCCCATTGTATCTGTACCAGATGGAAATTCCTCCGGTACAGCTATTGAAGGCTTCACGTACTACGTGGTAGAAATATATCACACACACTCACACACATACTCTGACACTCACACACACACACACACTCTGACACTCACACACACACTCTGACACTCACCCACACACTGACACTAACACACACACTCTGACACTCACACACACTCACACACACACTGACACACACACTCTGACACACACACACTGACACTCACACACACACTCTGACACTCACACACTGACATACACACACACTCTGACACACACACACTGACAAACACACTCGCTAACAAAAGTTTCCAGAGTCCCCCCCCCCCACCACCGCCACCCCGCCCTTCCCCCCGGACCCTCGCCACGCCGGCCAATGAGCGGCACGGACGCGACCCCCCCCCCGCCCCGAGGGGGGCGGCGAGCTGTGAACTCGAGCGTGAAGGCGACGCAGAACCTCGCGGACAAAGGCGAAGTCGGGACGCGGTGCATCGATAGAGGACGAGGAGGAGAGAGACGAGGACGAGAGGGAGTAGAGAGAGACGAGGAGGAGGAGAGAGCCGAGGAGGAGAGGGAGTAGAGAGAGACGAGGAGGAGGAGGAGAGAGCCGAGGAGGAGAGGGAGTAGAGAGGGACGAGGAGGAGGAGAGACGAGGAGGAGGAGGTGGAAGAGAGAGCGAGGGGTCTGCGCGTCTCCTGCTGTCGCTCCCGTTCAAGGAAGTAAGAGAAGCGGTCTGGAACGCGACCCCCGTGCCGTCATCCATCGTCTCCCTCGCTCTGCCGGTGCGTCTGAGCGACCGAGAGAGTGAGAGAGGAGGGGGAGAGAGAACGAGAGAGAGAGAGAGGAGGGCGAGAGAGAACGAGAGAGAGAGAGGAGGGGAGAGAGAACGAGAGTGAGAGAGAGAGAACGAGAGTGAGAGAGAGGAGGGGGAGAGAGAACGAGAGAGAGAGAGACAGAAGGAAAGTTTGCGGAGCGTTGCTTGGAGTGTGGTAACGGAAGGGAAGGAGGGAAGGAAGGAGGAGGAAGGAGGAGACGGCTGCCAGATAAATATTTCATTCTCTGCGCGCCGCGCCGAGTGTGTGCTGGAGAGTGACTCCCAGACTCCACGAGAAGAAGCCTCGAGCAGCAGCAGCAGGAGTTGGTGGCGGAGGAGGATAATCCTCTCGACCGAGGCGAAAGTCGACGGACAACTTTTTGTTGACGACGCAGATCGTCCTTGCGGGGTTTGAGGTCGTGGTCCCTTGCCTGGAGCCTTGGGCAAAGGGGCTCGCGTGTCGGGGTGGTCAGGGTTCGACCTGGGATTTGGGGTTAGGGTCAGCTTTGGGTGGGGTGGGGGCGGTGTTTGGGTGAGCGGCAGAGATTGGAGACGGCCACAGACCAACGCGAAACGTCTCCCACGTTTGGGGAGGGAGGGGAGTTGGGACACCCTCCATGTGATCGCGACCAGCGCAAGTTGCCGAGTCGCTTGTCCCCGGAGCCGTCGCTTGCCCGGAGGAGTACGATCGTTGGCATGCCGAGCGGCTGCTGAGATGCCCCGGGGCACCGCGGCGGAGAGAAGGCGGAGGAGGAGGAGGGAGGGGGAGGAGGAATCACCGCGCCACCGGGCACAGAGTCGTCGCCAAATCCTCGCCGGGAGGGCTCGGAGCTCGTGGGTCCTGAGCGCGGCTGGCCCCGCGGCGATGTGAGAGGGGGGGGGGGGACAGCGCTCGACACCTCCGCTCGACTCGGCCGCGTTCTCGCGGTCTCCTGCTGCTGCTGCTGCCGCCACTCGTCGGCGCTTCTGCGCGCGACTCGCCGAGATGAACACCTCGCGGTTGCGGCCCGGGACAGGCTCCGACTCCGGCTGCGGATCGGCTTTGGGATCGGAGTTGAGGTCGGAGGAGAACGCGACGATGTCGTCATCGTATCCCCGTCATCCCCAGCACCAACCCCATCATCCCCAGCGCCTACTCCATCATCCACAGCACCAGCACCAGCACCAACCCCATCATCCCCAGCACCAACCCCATCATCCCCAGCACCTGCTCCACCATCCCCAGCACCAACCCCATCATCCCCAGCACCAACCCCATCATCCCCAGAACCAACCCCATCATCCCCAGCACCAACTCCATCATCCCCAGCGCCAACTCCATCATCCCCAGCACCAACCCCATCATCCCCGGCACCACCACCCCTCTTGCTCTGCGCTGCTGCTACCCGTGTCACCGCTCTTGCACCACCACCATCACCACCACATCCTGCTGCTGCCGCTGCTGCTGCTGCCGTTGCTTCTGCAGCAGGCGCTGCCCGTTCGCGGGACACAGCAGGTACTGCTGCGGCCAGCGCAGGCAGCGCGCGGTGGAGCCATGCAATGCTGGGAGGCTGAGATCCGTTGCCTGCAAGAGACGGAGTGCAAGCGGGCGTACAACCAGTACCTACGGGCGTGCGAGGCGGCGCTGCGCCCTGCCGTCAGCGGGGACGTTGCGGACGAAGCGGATGGTGGTGGTGGCGGCGGCGGTGGTGGTGGTGGATTTTCCACCGTCACGCACTGCCCCAGCCACTGCATCCACGCCATCATCCAACTGAACGCGACTCGGGGAGGACCCGGCCTGGAAAGTTGCGACTGCGCGGACGACTTCGTGTGCCTCGCCGCCAAACGAGGAATCGAGCCGTGCCTGCCTCGCACCTACACGGGCGGCGGCGGCGGCGGTGGCGGCGAGGACGAATACGACGACGACGACGAATACGGCGGAGGTGGTGCAGGTCGCGGAAGAGGTGGCGCTGGCGCTGGCGGTGCTCTGGGCTGCACGGAGGCGAGGCGGCGGTGCGAGGTGGAGCCGGCGTGCAGCGCGGCGATGGACGCCTACCTCATGAACTGCGGCAAGCTGCTGAACGGGGTGCGCTGCACGCGCGAGTGCATGCGCGTCATCCTGCACATGATGGCCATGCCCAGGGCGCTGGCGCTCAGCGAGTGCGTGTGCGACGGCCTCGAGAGGCCGTTCTGCGAGGTGGTCAAGGACAACATGGAGCGGCTGTGCTTCGACCGCGAGCGAGGGAGCGGCCACTTTTCCGACGAGGACGACGACGACGACGACGACGATGAGGGTGACGATGAGGATGACGACGGTGACGACGATGACGACGACGGTGGCTATGGGGACAACGCTGCCGCGTACGGCGTCGGAAGGCACGCGCGCCAGAAAGCGTCCGGGAGCGCGGATGGCACCCACTCGGTCAGAGTGTTCCCCAGGGGTCAGCCCCGCGCCGGTGGACAGTGCCGACCCCTGGCTAGCGTCGGGCTCACGGCCGCCGCGTGTCTCGCCGCGAGCGCGGCGCGGCGCTTGTCGGGGTGAGCGGCGAGGTTCGGGCCCCGCGCGGGTGGTCGCTTGGACGCTCGGCTCGGAGCTTTCGGTAGAAGCTGCACGTGCGCGTCGTGTGTACATTGTGAGTATATTTGTATACATGGGGCAACGACAACATCGAGTACAAAAAAAAAACAAAGTTACGGTTTAATATATATTGACAATCACTTATTGTGGTTCTTTTTTTTTTGGAGGGCGGGAGGAATATGTGGAAAAAATAAGAAATAAATATATATTGTTCTCCCCCCGGGGATTGGAATTTTAACAAATGCGATACATTTCCCACGAGGGGGTGAAGGGCCGAGGGGCGGCGGGGATGTCGCCACGGGCTCTTGTGTTGGGCACGGTCAGTTTCTGACAGGAGCGCTAACGCGTGTGAGGATGGTGGTGATGATGATTATTTTCATTATAATTCGAAACGTATGGAATTGTACATCTAGAATAATGATCAAAAGAAGCAATGGGATGATGTTACGATTGCGCACACTGACAAAGATCCCTCGTGTAGTCTCAGCAGGCTAGTGGGGCAAGTGCTGTGAGCGAGTAGCACCTATGAAGGCCGACACGGGATACTCACGAGGGGGGGGGGGGTGGATGGTCAGCAACCACCACGCCGAGCTGCCTTTGTCTCCCCTAGTGGCGATGTTTACTGCACACCGCACCAGGTACTCATTCGAAGCTGAGTCGACCTTGGGAAGGCTCTGGACCGGTTCAGATAATCGTCACCGGCGTTGGCCGTGAGCGGGAATCAAACTCGGATCGCCGGGCTCATAGCGCAGCGCGCTAACCACTGCGCCACCGCTCCCCACATTCTGCGCCCCCACCCCCCCACGTCGCTATGATTCCACTCACGCGTCACGATTCTCTCATTAATCGTCACGAACCGATTCGATTACGGAGATATAATTCCTTATCTGCTCGTGCCGTACATAGGAGTGCAGTCTGTTCTGCCCAGTCTAGTTGGTGGTCTATCTTGTCTCGTTTGTATTGTCTCGTAAGCTCTGTCTCGTTTGTATTGTCTCGTAAGCTCTGTCTCGTTTGTATTGTCTCGTAAACTCTGTCTCGTTTGTATTGTCTCGTAAGCTCTGTCTCGTTTGTATTGTCTCGTAAGCTCCGTCTCGTTTGTATTGTCTCGTAAGCTCTGTCTCGTTTGTATTGTCTCGTAAGCTCTGTCTCGTTTATATTGTCTCGTAAGCTCTGTCTCGTTTGTATTGTCTCGTAAGCTCTGTCTCGTTTGTATTGTCTCGTAAGCTCTGTCTCGTTTGTATTGTTTGTCTCGTAAGCTCTGTCTCGTTTGTATTGTCTCGTAAGCTCTGTCTCGTTTGTATTGTTTGTCTCGTAAGCTCTGTCTCGTTTGTATTGTCTCGTAAGCTCTGTCTCGTTTGTATTGTTTGTCTCGTAAGCTCTCTCGTAAGCTCTGTCTCGTTTGTATTGTCTCGTAAGCTCTGTCACGTTTGTCTCGTAAGCTCTGTCTCGTTTCTATTGTCTCGTAAGCTCTGTCTCGTTTGTATTGTTTATCTCGTAAGCTCTGTCTCGTTTGTATTGTTTGTCTCGTAAGCTCTGTCTCGTTTGTATTGTTTGTCTCGTAAGCTCTGTCTCGTTTGTATTGTTTGTCTCGTAAGCTCTGTCTCGTTTGTATTGTCTCGTAAGCTCTGTCTCGTTTGTATCGTCTCGTAAGCTCTGTCTCGTTTGTATTGTTTGTCTCGTAAGCTCTGTCTCGTTTGTATTGTCCGTGATGGTATCTCGTCCGTCGCCGTCTCTCTTCGGAGCCCGTCTCTTTCGTTACCTTTGCCTGCTTGAGTCGAAATAATTCGAATTTCAATTTCGGGAATGAACGTCGCATCACGACTCCTGGCGGCGCACGACCGCGACGCGCGCGCCTCGCGGTCGTGGGAACATCGGCGTCGACGGGCGACTCCGATCGCCACTGGCACCTTCGCAGCGGCGAACGCGACGCGGCCGAGGAGACACAGCGAGCCACTTGTTCGCGTCCCCTCCCACTGACGCGCCCGCGCTCTGCGCGTGCGTCTGTGTTGAGCTTCTTGCCCACCGCGTGTAGCCAACTCGCGATCATTTGATAGGTTCCGGAGGTGGTTGGTGGGGGGCGGGGGACAATAAATGCGAGGGGAAGCCGTTGATCAATTCCACTGCTGGATGAATGCCTCTCGACCCCATCCCTCCTTTGTGTTCGTGGCTGTCCCGAAGTCAGCGGCGAGGCGTTGGAGAGTGCGGGCTCCGGCCGTCGCTCGCCACTGACGTGGGCCGTGCCGCGGCCGGGGAAATCTCGCTCGGCGCGTTTGTCACGGCGGTCGGGAGACTCCGTCGAGAACCGTTTGCGCAAACCACTGCGCCACCGCTCCCGTATTGTCCATTGTTCCATTCGGGGGCTGATTGAGGAGGAGGAGGAGGATGATGATGATGATGACGACGATGATCACAGCAGCTCGCAAAAAATCGCGCTCGAACCCGATGCGCGCGCATCGAATATATCTCGTGCGGTGATCGATTATTATAATCGATTCGTAGGTTGCTGACCACATGGTCACGCGATGGCGTTCGCGTGATTCTCACTGCCCCCCCCCCTCGCCCCCCCCCCCACACCTACGTCACAATAAGGGACAAAACAATCGATGATTGAATCGAACCGTGAGCTTGAATCGTGACCATTAATCGAATCACGAGAATGTGGGGGGGGGGGGGGGGGGGGGGGGCGAGAGAGTTAATTGATAAGCGCCGAATGAACGCGGGGAAGTAATGTTGATTATTTATCATCATCAGCAGCAGCTTTGGTCAATCCACTGCTGGATGAAGGCCTCTCCAAGCCACTGCCGCCGCGTCTCGCGATCGTGTACGAAAGACCACGCAGCGCCCTTCGTACGAACGGATTCCATTGCTCCATCTCCCCGGGAGTGGTACCCTGGGTCACGCGTTCCATTTCGCTCGGCTCCCACTGCCTTGGCGCTGTTGACCGGGGCTGGTGATGATTATCCCTCCCTGTTTGTGTGTGTGTGTGGTACTAGAGGGCGTGGGGGAGGGAGGGGGTGGGGTCACTATTACACTCGGCATTAGCGGGTTCGGGGTGCGATAATCAAATCGAAATAAATCGGGGGGGGGGGAGGGGGACAATGCAACGGTGGTTTGCGTTCAGTCAAATCCACCACACATACACAACATAGCCATTTGTGCATTTTGCAACAACAACAACAACAACCGTCGGCAGTTCCCGAAGAACCTCATCGTGGTTCACCAAGACCATTTTTTGCATTTTGAGCAATCGTGAGCGGCTCACGGCAGCAGCGGGAGATAAAGAAATGTACAAACTGTGCGTCCTCATTAAGACTCATCAGCACGGCGTATTTAAGAGGCGACGACTCTGGCCCGGTTTCACCCTTTCTGCGGCTCATCGGCAGAGTCGGAGCCTCTTTTAATTCACGCGGTATAAGCCCGGAAGGCCGACAGGCCAAGCAACATTTTACGTCTACGTGGAGATACGGACCGGAGGGTAGATTAAATTATTGATTTACCTACCTACAATGCTCCATTAAGAGCGCCCGGTGAGGATTTAAACTCGCTCGGCTCTGCTGCTGGATGGGACGTGATCCATTTGGTGGTTTTCACAATCCAGAACTCACGGCATCCACTGCCCTTCACTTCCTCCTCCTCGCCTCTACAAAGCCACGAACTCCCTGCCTCTCCCTTGCATCTCCCTGCCTCTCCCTTGCATCTCCATGGCTCTCTCTTGCCTCTCCCTTGCATCTCCCTGCCTCTCTCTTGCCTCTCCCTTGCATCTCGCTGCCTCGATCCTCATCTCCCACTCCTCGCCTTTCACAGCCCGCGTTCCATCTCCCCGTCCAATCCAAAGGGCCGCCCCTCTCCTGCGCCACGGCGGCCAACTCAAGCGGGCCCCCAGTGCAACTGCGCCAGGGCCCCGTTCCAGTGCTTTGGCCAGAGGGGCCACGCCAACAACGGTAACGCCACTGCCCTCCTGCCAAATCATCTCACTCCAACTTGCTCCGCTCCTCGCTCCCATCTACAGATCTCCCTTCGCATCTCCCCTCTCTAGCCTCACTCCCCTCCTAGCACACCGCCTCCACTCCCCCTTGCCATCTCATTTTCATCATCCTTTCTCCTCTCTCTCTCTCCCCATCATCCTGCCCTTCCCTCCCTTGTCTCGCTTCTCTTTTCTCTCTCCCTCACCTTCCTCGTGCCCTCCCAACCACTCCCTGCTCCATGTCCACTCAACCCTTCTCTCCTCTCATCCTCCTCTCCAAGCCACCTTTGTCTTCTTTCCATATTCTCCTCCTTCCCCTCCCTCCCCCCCCTCCTTCCCACTGCACTCCCCACCACCACTACCGCAAACCGCTCCAACACAGCTGCAGCCTTGCCTCATTCTCGCTGTCAGTGGAAGATTGGCAACAACCACCACCACCACCCTCTTCTCCCCAACTTTCCCCAAGAGCCGGGTCACGGCGGCCGGGGTGTGGGGGGTGAGTGGGGGGGGGGGGGGGGGTCGCTCTCTGGGTGTGTGATGGTGCATTCGGTGGAATTTAACGATTCATCGATTACAAAAAAAAACTCGATTGCTCCACTCACGATCCCCCGTCGCATTGGATGCCGCGCGCGAGACTCCGTGTCGATTCGTGGACATTGCATCCACGTTGGTTATCCCCCCCACCCCCCTCGCCGGCGCGAGTTGATGGTCGGAATGATGGAGCGAAAAGGAATAGACAAGGCTAAGACGAATGGTAAAAAAAAACAATTCAGTTGATACAGGGGAATATCACGCAGGCGGATACGGGCGAGTAAGCATCAACGATCAGTGCAAAACATAAAACGATCGATTATTTGACTCGAATAGTCACGTGGCCTCGTTTATGTCCATAATGGTGACGCTAGTCGTGATGGTCATGATGATCGTGATGATTGGTAATTGTGATGATCCAGATATTCGTGGTGACCGTGAAGATCATCATCGTCGTTACGACAATGATGCTCAATAATTACGTTGAGAATCATGATGACCATCAATCACGGTGAAGCGTCGTGGCTGTGATTACGACCATGGTCACGGCGATGATGACAATGGCCACGCGAGTTGTAATGACACCGGAGTGGTACTCAGTGTTGTTGATGAT